AATACACAGGTGTGAAATTGCACAGTCCAGAACAGTCAACTAGCGGCTGGGCGCGGTGGCTCAAGCCTGTAATCCCAGCACTTTGGGAGGCCGAGGCGGGTGGATCACGAGGTCAGGAGATCGAGACCATCCTGGTCAACATGGTGAAACCCCGTCTCTACTAAAAATACAAAAAATTAGCTGGGCATGGTGGCACGTGCCTGTAATCCCAGCTACTCAGGAGGCTGAGGCAGGAGAATTGCCTGAACCCAGGAGGCGGAGGTTGTGGTGAGCCGAGATCACGCCATTGCACTCCCCCTGGGTAACAAGAGCGAAACTCCGTCTCAAAAACAAAAACAAAAACAGAACAGTCAACTAGCTGCATAAACACTTCTATCTGTTAGAGTTCTGCACAGAAAGTTCTGGAAACAGGAGTCTGTAAGGCTTTTTTTTCCCCAGTATTTTCTAACACTGAGAACACAGACAGTCCTATGGGAACTAGCCTTTTGGAAATTACCTTAGATTCTGTACCCAAAAATCTAATCCAATTCACACAAACTTGGAATTAAAATACAGTAGTTAGTTCAACTCCTTTATACTGTTTTGCTATCTGTCACACTTGGATAAAGATTGTGGTAATGAAATGAATGTATCCAGTTGTTCTATAGTGTTTCTCCATCCCCTGTCAAACAACAGGATACATTTGTACAAGTCAGGCCTAAGACAAAAGTGGAGTCTGTCTCCACAGACTCCCAGAGAGCTCCTGGAGAATGCAATGAGCTGGCTTCCATGCAGCCAGAATGTGAAGCCTGGGCAGCCTCTCACTGCTGCATGCTTTTTCCGAAATACACACCCAGTCTCTCTCCACCTCATGCAGATGATCTAGCTGTTACCTTACATTCATTTACATCTAGTCGTCCTCACTGTGTTCATAATAAGCAACAGTGTTCTAACACCTGAACTCACCATGGTCAAAAATTAATAAAAAGGACTGGAAAAATCCAGAATGTGGAAATACCCAGAGCACAGAGCTTCACAACATGCACAGTATCAAGTGTCATGTTGAGAAACAGAGATTTCTCCTCCAAGTTATCTAACTAGCCCTGGCACCCCTGGGCTCTCTGGCAACGTGGCCTGGGACCGCCTCTGACCTCCGTCCCATCTGCCTACACACCTAGGTGGCTCCAGGTCTCCTCCCTCAGACATCCTTGCCTTCCAACTGCATCATACCTTTCCACCAAACTCACTGAGACATTTTTTGAGTTCATCCTCACTCCTCTACAAAAAAGTCCTTAGTAAATGTTCTCTGTTAATGGCCTACTTAGTCACAAATCCTATTCTCTTATGCTTGGTTTTGACTAATGAATTTATTATCTACACAGCTTTCAAGTTAGGTGCGTTGCCCAAACACACACACACTTCCATTTGGCTTACTTCCTCCTGCTGCTTAACCAACAAATTGTCTGGGCAGAACTACTTGGAAGCTAATAATTTGCTGTCTCTACTTCGTGTCATAGTCTTCTAGAGATTATAAAGCACAACCATCTCATTTTACCCAGGAAGAAATGTGGTGACCTAAGTTGGCCAGAGGAGCAAGCCAATTAATGATCAAACAAAACAATTCCGGCATGAATTTCTCTCGACCCTTCCCAGAATAAAACACATCACTTTTGTTAGACTCCAAGGGTATGCACTAGCAATCATTTTGATGTGTAACTCAACATCCTCCCTACCCCATAGGAGACAACTCCTGATAACAGGCAGAGAAATTGATTCATCAGCAAAGAACATGCTGTGTATTGACATGAGTCAAAAGCCAAAGCTACCAACAAAAGACGCCATATTGATTGCATGAATAACACACTCGAAGTGAAATCTAAAAAGAGATGAGATCCTTTTTGACTGCTCCAGTCAACCATGCCCTCCCAAAGTTCACCTAACAGTTAATTCTGTCAACAGAATGAAGCAGCATATATTCTGAAAGGCCTGATCTTAGGTAGGCATGAAAAAAACAGACCGGAAAACACCAGAAAGTTACGGAAAAGCCATTAAAAAATGCATCATTTATTTCTCAATTCCAGTGATAAAATGCAGGCATAACTATTTGTCTAGCGAGGTGAAATTTAAGGACGAATTTTATGCTCAACGAGAATGACTTCTCAATTTGATTCTTGTAAATATTCACACGTGGTTAACCGTACAAAACTATAACGAACACATCAAGTTTTCCCCATTTCATCTAAGTCTGCCCACAGTAAACAACATGACACAGGTACTTCTGTGCCTTCTGTACAAAGTGTGAAGCTGTTTTTATTATTATTATTATTATTATTATTATTTTAGCGACAAGGTCTTATTATTGCCCAGGCTGGAATGCAGTAGTGCAATCATGACTCACTGCAGCCTTGAACTCCAGAGCTCAAGTCGTCCATCTGCCAGCCTCCAGAGTATCTGAGACATGCACCACCACACTCATTTAGGCTAATTTTTAAAAATTATTTTTAGTAGAGATGGGAGTCTCACTATGTTGCCCAGGCTAGTCTCAAACTTCTGGGCTCAAGTGATCCTCCTGTGTGGGTCTCCCAAAGTGCTGAGATTATAGGCATGAGCTACCACACTCAGCCTGTTTTGTTTTTTTAATGAACACCTGGCCCCTGTCCTTGAGTAGGCCAGGCAATAATTTCCATTCTAGGATGCTGTCAGAACCTAATCTTAGGACTGTGATTGGACTGTAAGCTTCAGGAAGGGTGGGACTCCCTACTGCCCTTCTCATCAGCACCTTTGTATGAGTGCCCCACAGGCTGCTCAGACCACTGAAATAATGCAGAAACTAAACTTTCTAAGTCCACTTTAATGGCTCTGAATAGCTCTTAAGTTCTTTTTGTCATTTTTACCTTACAACAAAAAAAAAAATTCTGCTACCAGAAATTATTTGCTCACTCCTTAATCTTTCAAATGAATATGCTTCTCGGTAAAGAGAATTTTCCCCTGCTCACTTAAAATGATAAGGTATCCCAAATAGGAAAATGATATTGCATTTGAAAAACTACAACAGCAGCTGGAATGTAAGCTCTGGGGTTACTGGGACAGCTGTAAAGCAGGGTTTCACAATCCTGGCACTAGTGACACTTTGGGCTAGACAATTGTGGGGGGCTGTCCTGCAGGTTATAAAATGTTTAGCAGCAAAAATTAAAAATTAAATAACAAAAATAAAAATAAAAAATAATGTTTAGCAGCATCCCTGGCCTCTACCCACAAGAGGTCAGCAGCACCTTCCCTGCCCCCAGGTGTGAACCCAAAATGCCTTCAGGTGTTGCCAACGTGTCCTAGGAGGACAAAATTGTCCTCTCTTCCAGTTGAGAACTCCGACTCTAAAATTACCGAGACCTGCTTTGAATTCCGGCTCCACCCCATCACAACCTGGGTCAGCTTGGAAAACAGACTGAACCTTCCTAGGCCCCCGCAAATTCCTCATCTGTAACATGGAGCTCTTACTGAAGAAATGCTATGAAAATTAAATGAAATGATATACGTACAGGATTTACACGCACAGAATATTCACCACCAGAGTGAGTGTCCAATAAATGGTCAGAAATGAGGGGAGGTTAAAGGAATTTCTAGAACTCAAGGATCTTATCTTTAGGCCTCCAGAGTACTGTAGTCTAGTCAGAAGAAATGGTTGAGATAGAGACAAAAAGAGATGAGAGAGGTTGGGAAAGCGGTGATAGCACTAAGGTATTTCCCTTATCTCTAAGAATGTGGCTTGGAGTCAAAGCCAATTATTCTTCTGCTGAGACTCAAACATTCCAAATAATAAACAAAAAATATGCTCAGATCACAAAAGTCTCCAAAACACAAACTTTTTAGTATAAAAGAGGAATTTACTCCAGCAGACACAAAAATACTAAAAGCACCAGACTACCACAACATGGTCTTAGATTTAAGAATCCAAACAACATACTACAGTTCTAGAGAAGCAATCATGACAACTTCATAATCTTCTAAAGGAAAAACTAAAGGCTGGCTTCTTAAAAGTTCCTAACTGAATCGTTCTGGGTTCCTTTATCTCTGGTTGCTGCTCCACTGGACAGCTTCTCAGAGTACAGGCAATGTAGGGATTTTCCATTACAATGGTGTCAGAGACTGAAGGACACATTTTTTTTTTAAAAAAGCAATCAAATTCTGCCGATTGATTTTTATCAGGATATTAAAATCCTATGAAAAGATTGTGGTCACGTGGCGATTTGGAAACTAGCAGAAAAGTTATTCCTCAAAAGAACTGTAGTCACGAGATGTGTCATCCCTTATCAAAAAATTAAAAAAAAAAAAAAGGCAATACGTCCACCAACTATTTGTTCAGCACTTAAAATTTTCATCTTGCATTTTGACTAAGTTGGAAGAAAAAAGGGAACGCAATTGTGAAACATTAGCCAGTGTCTGGATCAGATAATGCCCCTAAACCGCCTGCAGCCTCTAAGACTGGCTTTACTTTCCGAATTCCTCACCCGAATGGTCATAAGACATCGAACAAGCACGTTCTGCTAGGCTGAACTTCAGAGGTCGCCGAAATCAAGTCGTGGGAGCGCCTTTGTTTTCCCTACATTAATCATTCGGGTGTAGCGTTTGGTTTGGAGTGTGTGGATGTGTGTCCCGCAGTGGCTAGGGGAAAGGCTGGCGTGTACGTGCATTTCCAGGTGACTGGGTGCATTTCTCCGTGTGTATGTGCACGGGTGTCTGGGCTTTTGTACCTCCCTCTCCAGTGTTTATGTGCGTCCCCGTGTGTGTGTTGTGTTTCCATGTGTGTTCCTCTCCCCAGGGATGTTGGGACCCGTCTTTCCTCCTGCGTCAGACAGCAGGCAGGGAGACAACCAGCCGTCCTCTCTCCCAGGGCGGCCTTGTGACCCGCGCTAGCCCCGCGCGCACCGCACCCTGCCCCAGCTGACCGAGGCCCAAGCCGCCCCCTCAGACCCCGATACCCGCGCGCCCCGCCCGGCCCCGAAGGAGTCCCGAGTCCCGCTCACCTCGCGGACACACAGAAGACTGCCCGGGAGCTCTGGCCCGGCCCGTCTGGGTGCTATGAAGACAGAGAGGTGGGTCGGGAACCTGCAGAGCAGGAGGCAGCGGCGGTAGCGCAGCCAGGCTCCAGCTCCAGCTGCTCCCGTCCAGCGCGGAGGGAACAACATGGCGACGGGCCGGGGCGGGGCCAGGAGAAAAGTGGGGCGGGGCCCTTGGAGGCGGGGTCTAGAAGGCGGGGTCCGGCGGCCAGGACCTTGGGAGATGGGCCCGGGGGAGGTGGAGCCCAGGCAGGCGAGGCCTGAATCGTACTTTTCCTTCGGGTCGATTTCTCTTCGTGGGTCCTCCAGTCTGCGTTCGGGCGAGAGCGAGTAAGAAATAACTGTTATTTTGAAAAGTTTATGTAAAGTGGAAATAAACAGAACTCATGAGACAGGATGTCGTGATTACAACGATAAAAACGACTAGGCAGACGGACAAAGAACAAACAGGTAGATGAAAAATGAAAACAGTTGTGATATTGTGGAAAAACAAGAACTTTTCAAATGAAGCTATTAAAACTTTCCTTTAATCTTGTTAAAGTACTGCCTCTGTCTCTCTGAATAGAAAGCGATGGTGCAAAAGGTGGTATTAAAGAAGCTCTCCTTAAGTCCTTGCTTTATGTGTGAAGCTGAGTGCGGAATCCTATGATACCGAACCCTACAGGAGAGAGGGACTCTTAGGGACATCTCAATACATTTTGTAAAATAGATTTAGTTTATCAGAGAACCAAATACCGCATGTTCTCACTTATAAGTAGAAGCTAAATGATGAGAACACATGGTCACATAGAGAGGAACAACAAACACCGGGGCCCACTTGAGGGTGGAGGGTGTGAGGAGGGAACGGAGCAGAAAAAAACTAGGTATCAGGTACTGTGCTTATTACCTGGGTAACTAAATAATCTGTACACCAAGCCCTTGCGACAGGCAGTTTACCTACAGGACAAACCTGCACATGTAACCCTAAACCTAAAATAAAAGGTTTTTAAAAAAACATTTAGTCTGTTTACTTTCCAAGACAAAGATCTCACTTTTATGATGTTGGGTGCCACAACAATTTAATCTCCAGCTCTTTGGAGAGTCATTTTCAGAAAATGACTTTTCATTCAGCACTAGAAAGGTCATATTTGAGAAAGTTCCTCACAAATTAAAAAGGCAATTTTAGAGTACTTCTGAATATGACACATAAGCTTAAATAATTTTTTTCTCATAAACAGAAATATATTTCTGATCTGCAGGTCATTTCCCCAAGGAAATATGTATAAATGTCTATAAAATGCAAATCTGTTAAATTGGTTGGAAGAAGAGATATACGTTATCTTGTTTTAAAATACATATTAAAAGTACACAGTAAAGCATTATATATAAACATTAGAATTAATTTTCGAGTAGAAAAAAAGACATGTAGTTGGGTCAAATTGCAACAAGCAATCCACAGGGTAATTAAAGAAATGCCACCTGAAAATCATACAACCTAACCATAGTCAAGGAGTGATGGAATGGGAGTTTATCTGTGCAACTGCTAATACCAACCACCTAGTAACAAGCGATCTCATGAAATTATTGAATTTTGAGTTAAAGCGAACCTTGAGAAACTCAACAGCTTTCATAAAAATGACCTAAGAGGGTTCCATAAGTGACTCTTAGGCTGTTCCAAAATGCAAGAAGGCATTCAAACATATTTGAGTGTAGCTTATAGTACCTGAAGAAAGAATAAGGAAAGTTACTTTTTCTAAAATAACTATCAGTTGGATTCTAGCCAACTGACATTTAAGAATATTAGTATATTGCGGTCTCTTCCACCACTCACTTCTTAACCTCATTTCTATATCAGTGCAAGAGTAGAGTGGGTCAAAAGATTTTTCTTTGAAGGCCAAGTTTGGGGGACTTTTGTTGTTGGATGTGTGTGGTTAGTAAGCTAATGCAAGTAGGATAGACAGTCTCTATCTCTCTTGGTCCATAAACTTCCTCCTTGATGAAAACATTAAAGAACCTACCTAGTTTGACTCCCTTCATCTAATGAGGATTTTCATCTTTATATTGTGTAAACACCAATGCATCATTCTTGGAAGAGAAAGAGGCCATGGTTGCTATGCATAAATGATTCTTTTATTTAAATGACACCTACTTATTACTATGAGTACTGGGAGTTAATAACCTGTCTCAAGCTGGAGACTGAAAGAAATCACTTCTGGCATCTCTGATGAAAAGCTACAAGTGGCTGGACATGGTGGCTCACGCCTGTAATCCCAGCACTTTGGGAGGCCAAGGCAGGTAGATCACAAGGTCAGGAGTTTGAGACCAACCTGGCCAACATGGTGAAACCCCATCTATACTAAAAATCCAAAAAAATTAGCTGAGCATGGTGGCATGTGCCTGTAATCTCAGCAACTCAGGAGGCTGAGACAGGAGAATCACTTGAACCCAGGAGGTAGAGGTTGCAGTGAGCCAAGATTGCATGCCACTGCATTCAAGCCTGGGCAACAGAGTGAGACTCTGTCTCAACAACAACAAAAAAGGCTACAAGTAAGTGGGCCCTAGACTCACGTACAGTAGATACTGATGGTAAATGAACTGCTTTTACTTTCACATACAAGGAAAAACACAGAACTCAGTTGTAGGCCATTTCACCATTATATTACATATTTAAATAGTCACAAATTTGATATTTTTCTTAAGTCATTTGGCCAAATAAGAGATTTGGTCATAATATTGCATAGATGTTCTTGTATAGCTGTACTAAGAAGGGGGAAAAGCATAAAATAGACATAAAATATTTTATGTAACTCAAAATTTGTTATATTTGGCTTTAAAGTCATCAGAGTGAAAATTCATAACATATAATGTTAAATAAAAAAGAACACTGCCAAATAGTATATGGAAGAAAAATCCCAATTTAGTTGAGAAAGTATTTTTTACAATACATAGCTTTTCAACATTCATTGCAATATTTAATAATGCATTTATATACTTACATATATATAATATATACATCTTCGATATTTTAAACCAATGCCACACTTATGCAGTTTGACTGGAAACTAAGTTCAACATGTTTCCTGCACTAAATCAGAACTTTTGATAGTGATTCTTAAGTCAGATAAAATTTCAATGTATGAGGAAATGCTAGAAATCAGATTTCTTCACTGTTCCACTTAAAAAGGAGTTCTCAAGCAAAGATGCGTAGGAGCATCATCTTTAACCTACATATAACCAGTGAGCAAATTTCAGAATTTCTGGACTCAGATTGATGTGAGCAAATGAAAATTCTGTCCCTCAACCAAATAGATTTCATGAGTCCCATGAATTCTATCCAGCGGATGCTGTCGAACGGCAACCTGGTGTCAAAAGCCATTGCCATCCTTCCTTTTGTCAGCCTACACACTGTCACAAGGGAGAAGGGCATGGCAGGCAGAAGCCAACACAACTCACGCCTATCAAGTTTGTGGGTAACCATCACCCTCACCCAAATCCCTCCAATGCCTTCAGCATAGAAATACATTTACTGTCTCTTCCCTTGGGTGCTTTTAAGATTTGCAGGAAATGAAAAGTCAATTCATGTTAATACTTACTTATTCAACAAATGTATATTGAGCGTGTACACTGGCTAGGTGCTGAGAATACAGTAGTGAATAAGACACGGAAGGAATTCAGGGGATGTCCCCAGCCACCATCCTCTTCTCTGAGGACAACCACTCTCTTCCACACTTTGGCTCTCATCCACCAGCTTTTTAAAAAATGTTATAGGACTTTATCTTGGTGAATAAAATAGATTCAGTTCCTTTCCCAGGAGAGCTTAGAGAAGACTGGAGGAGACATTCAATAAGTAACTAAACAAATGTGTAGTTACAAAGGGACTCAGGGCCTTGAAGAAAATAATCAAGGCCCAGTAGATGGGAATATCGGGTGATAATACCAGAGAAGGCAGGAATGAGGAGGTGACTCAGGCCGAGCCCTAAGAACGAGCAGGCAGCAGTGGGAAGGGCTTTGGAAAGAGTGGTGCAAGTTTTATAAACAAGGCCACAAATAACTTAGCATATAGCAGCTTTCAATAAATCTATCTAAATAAACAGGCAAACTACTATAATTAAATCTTCATAACTGGTGGAAGAACTTAAAATTGTAATGTTTTCTGTAGCGATGCAAGATCTAATGTATTCTCTTAAAAATAATATGTGTATGTTGAATAGTGCCGCACTTTCTCGATGACACTCTAAATATAGCTTAACTCAGTTAATTAAAAACGGCAAAATGGAACAAGCATTAAAATTCAGGAATGAAGTTAGGAATTCAATCCCTTTGCTGATTTGCTGATGAACATGAGTCAAAAACTGAACTTAACCTTCAAAGCAATAGAAGGAAAATCACATACACACCATATATACAATTATGTAAAAAGTGTGTGTGTGTGTGTTTGTATGAGTGTGTACATATGAGTGTTTATAAACAAAAGAATGGAAAGCAACAAGGAAAATCAAAGCAGTTGAATTATTATGGCAGTAGGATTATGAGTAATTTGTATTTAAATTTTGGATTTCATGTTATATTATTTTGGGCAATAAGTGGAAGTTTTTCAATGAAGCAATTTTAAGAAACCTTTAAAAGTACTTCATAAGGCCTCACAATGTAATCTTTGCCTTAGGCTATAATAGTTAGTGCAAAACAAAAGTCCAGTTACCTTGGCAACTATTTCCTTCAGACATAAGCCCACACAGACATGTCCAAAACCACGTGTACTGCTGCTAAGACTGAGGATACTGATGCTGAAGTGTTCCTCTTCCAGCCTCTTATGGTCTTCTATCTAAATACCCAGTGCTCATTTGCAGCTTTCTTTACCTTTTAAGAGCTGAGATCGCCATCATCCTGACATAACCAGCTTCTTATCCTCTCACCTTCCCTAACCTTACTCCATCCACAGGAATATAAATAATCCAAGCTGATGCTGGATCCTACTCACAGCTACAGCTAGGTTCTGGCTAAACAAAATCCCTAATTAAGTTTGATAAATCCCTCACTCTATCTGCCTAAAAGAGGAAAGGGGGAACTCTCACTGGTAGAAGACATTATGTGAAGCATTTCTGTTTCATTTATATACTATGTCCAGCATGCAATAAAAAAGTATTAGAAATGCAAAGAGGGAGGAAGAAGTGACTAATAAGAGAAAACAATAGAATTTCATCATTTGTAATGACTAATTTGGATATATCTCAGGAATGCAAGGGTAGTTTAACATGAACAGTTCAAAGGGAAAACAACATGCTGTCAACTCAATAGATGAAGAAAAAATTCATTCAATTAAATTCAACACTC